TACGTGAATTAGTCTCGTAATGTACAACTAAATTAAGTTGTTGTTTAATAGAGCTAAACTGTTGAACAGTGTTTTTAGACTTTTGAGGATGGGCAAAATGTGTCAAATTAATTTTCATTGGTGTCGTACTAAGATTACCCACGGTCCAAAACTCATAGTATTTTACTATAGTAATTGTTGATTTAGGAATCTAAATATATAAAAGGCAAAGCCCTCACTGACTGACTGACTGACTCACTCACTCACTCATCACTAATTCTCCAACTTCCCATTTACCTAGGAGGCTGAAATTCGGTACATCGATTCTTTGGGCATTAAATAGGAAAACTAAGTAGTTTTTATTCTGATCGGGCTTTCGGGCTCCGCCCCAGTGGCTCTGGAATTTCCCATGTTAACCTTATGATTTTTCATATTTAAAAGGAATTTCTTAACAGCTGTTTCAATTAAACAAGTTGGTTCTGTTCTATGATGTTCAATAGCATTAAAGTTACAAGGATTACCAACAGGGTGCAGCACTATTATTTCTTTTTGTAATTTATGACAACAGCTAATTTGCAACCAAAAGGTGAGTGAGCGTAGCGAACGAACTTCAACCTGGAGGTGAGTTAGCGTAGCGAACGAACTTCAACCTGGAGGTGAGTTAGCGTAGCGAACGAGCTAACATGAAGGCAAGTGAGCGCAGCGGACGAGCTCCAACCTAAAGGTGAGTGAGCGTAGCGAACGAACTACATCCAGGACGTGATTGAGCCATACGAATACTTATCGGGGCAAAACCCGCGGGTACAGCTAGTATTTATATATAACTAACACTATAGTCTTAAAACTTAAAGTAAAAACGTTACAAATGAATGATTTAATGAGGATTATTAGTCTTACTTGGTGTACAGCCAGAAAGTGACGTCATTTCCTGCGCAAGTAGTGTCATCTGCTACGTCACACGTCCTGCTTATGATCTGAATCAGACGACTCAACTGGCCAATAGAGGCCCCTAATCAGAATAGACATAATAATCTTTTTATACTAGAGTATTGAAATATTTTAATCATGTTAAATGTTAATATATATATATATATATAAAATTGCTTTGCATTAGTTGATTTTAAGTTTCAAGTTCATCTTAAGAGTGATTTAGATTTAGGTGCTTGAAGAACTCTATAGAATATAAAGCATTAAGGAAGTAATGTTATTACGGCCTCGCTTTTGGATGGGGTTTGATTAAAACAGCATGCTTGCTTCACACTTAAGCACGTGTTGAGATTAGAATATAGAATATAGAATTAAGCACGTGTGCTGGTCAATTTACTCACCTCCATAAAGCTTTCAAAATGTTTATAAGAAAACATGTTTATTTAATCTACAAAGCTATTAAACATTTATATCCATTTCATTTTTAAACAGTAATGACACGGTGTTTGGTTGTAAGATACACAATAAAATAGAATTCATAAGATAATGGCTTAAATATTTCCATTGATAATTTTTTTATTATGGATGTATTTAATTTATTTTTTAACGGTATGCCTTAAGATAATTATGAATATACACCATTTAAGTAAGGGTTGGTAATCATATAATCATAGTACTAATAGTATATTTCATAACAAGAGTAGAAAGTGAGTCATTACACATTTGAGATCATGCTCCATTAATTTCGCACTTCAAATATTCAAGAATATGTATAAACCCACTTTCACTTGTGTTGGAACGTTACCTTTTGCTACACAACAAAGAATAATTATTTTCTCCATTACAAAACTCAAAGAACTTTTTAGTTTATGCCTTCAGTTAATATTTCCTCTAGTTGTTGAAAATTGAAACAGTTGATAAAACAATAACAAATATCTGAAGTTGTTGACAGTAAAAAATGTTCGGTTGTTAACAATGTTACTTTCTGTAGTAAACAATGGACAGCTTTTAAAAATATGATGTTTCGCAGGCTGTAAACACTAACGAAAACAGCTCAACACATAGTAGTGTGTGAAAAAATATTTGAATATATATTACTCACCAAACAGATTCAAGAAGAAAATTATTAAATACAATGACTTAACCATTTTGATAATACAACTAAAAGACAGTCAAAAGCTATGAGGGACGATAGTACAAACAGGACATGAAATATGGAAATTCACCCCAAGCAACTGTCCCTAACGATATAGTTATCTATAGGAAATCTAAAGGAAACATATTTGGAAAAATATGTCAACACCCACGAATTTATAATAAATTGTCATGGTTATCTTTAAGGTGTAATGTTTTTGACGAGCATACCTAATTTAATTTATGCTTAGCCATGCTATGGTGTAATAGTTCAGTGTGCTCTGGCGTATCACCTCGTATGTTAGTTCCTATACAATTTACAATTTAATGTTTACAAAAAAATAGCGTGTAAAATGAATTTTGGAAATTTAAAACACTTGTATACTATGTATGTAGCTTCTTTTGAAGGAGTGGGTTTTATTAAACTAGTCGGTATGTAGACTAAAACTTTGAATTCAAGAGGAAACAGGCTTCCTATCAACTATGCAATCGTTTCCCTAATAAAAAAAGGCGCATAAAGTAAAAGATTGGCCTCTACTAGCTTTACCAATCGAGAAAAACTCGACTCCATATCTCAGATGAGATACAGGCTCTGCCCCAAAAAGTCCGACATGCATAGCTCCAATAGTCGCAGCTCCGAAACTCATTTTCGGAACTGTGCCTTACGAAGTGCCTGGATGTATACATTCTTTCATAGTAGTTCCTCAGTGATGAGCTCTTTTAGAAATAATGACTTTTGGAGCAATGCTGCACCAAGAAAATAAAATAAAACAGTAAAATTTTGAAGCAGTGCACACACTTGTGATTTTTACACCAAGTTTATGCTTATGCGTCTCCAAAGGATAGGCATTTAAAAATTCAAAAGAAATGTTTATATTTTCACGATATCTTTCATTCTCCATTATATATACTACTATAAAAGGAGGTGGCATTCGTATGGCTGTCTGGCTGTCAGGACTAAAATACTTTGGACAATACAGCTTACATTCAACACAATAATGATCCTATCCATTCATTTCTAACGGATTACTCCCTTTACACTAATAATACATACATTAGTAGCCAACAGTATTGGCAGAAGAAGAACAAAAACTTGAATGGCTAACAGTAAAATGAGTTAGTAAACATAACAAGATAAATAACTAGAACAAATTGGAATATATACATCTTTAAACAAACTTTTAAGTAAAGCAATGTGGTAACACGAATTATATGCAGTGTGCAAAATAATGCAATTTTAAAGTAACAAACAGGATAACAATAGACCTATGATGTAATTGACTATACATTTACTCAGTAAAAAAGTCTTCAATCATGACAGAACAACAACATATCTGATAAAATACAAATGATCTCATTAAAATTTGTATATTACTTTCTAAAAGAAGTGAACAAAATTGAAAAGAAAAAGTACAATTATAAGCATAGAATATGATAGCTCTTAAAATGTTAGTGTTAAAGTGTAGAAAATAATATATTATGATAAAAAAATCTATAAAATAAGTTAGAGCCCATGAAATAACTAACTTTAAGAGCACTTCTTAAAATAATAAGTCGACCTCAGTCCACCACGCCTCCCTCCCTGATGGAGGCTGTAGCTAGAAGGCAGGAACATTCGCCGGGTTGCCAAGCACGAAGACTCGACAGCAAGACAATATGGCCATTGACCAGCTTGAAGAGTAGACCTATCCCCATTATCTTCCGCCTTCCGTTCCAAATGTGGAGGTGAAAGCCCAAACTTCACTTCCTTGAATCCCTTCAAGCTGCGCCCGTGGACGTCTAAATTTCTGTGGTAAGGGCCAAAAGCCAAAAGTACTGTTTCTGACAGTTTAATTTTTTTTTGCAATTTCTATATCATGATAAGAAAACTCACAACGTAGGTATACATTTTGCGTTGACATATCAAAGGCCACGCCGGCGAGCTTTCTAAATATGCTATAATAAGAGTAGTTTTAATGATTGATTTTAGAGCAAAACTTAGGAAAACTTATGATGTATACACGTTTTGGATTAAATTTACAAACTTGAAAGGGTTTACGTGTGTTTGGTTTAGGCCTCCGAAATAACAGAGTTATAAATACATAGATTTTTCAAAACATGGATTAATATACTTTTTATAGGTTTAAAGCCGGGTTTTCCTAGGCGCGGAATCGGTGAGCGGAGAGAGGAACGCGGAGAGCGGACTCCACTTGTCTTAGGCAATTTAATGTTACTGTTTTCCTAGAAGCAGAGCGGAATGCCATGTTAATTTCAATTCCGCTCTCCGCGTTTCTCTCTCCGCTCTCCGCTTCCGTGCCTAGGAAAACCCGGCTTAAGAGATGATTTGTACACAATTTGCTTTGCTACGCAGTTTTGTAATCAGAATGACTTCCATTAATTCTGAAGGTTTCTACTTAATAGATTGATACTACTTATATTTTTTCTATATACTTTGAATACTGGAACTACTATGAGTCTATACTTAGCATACTATTATAAAATGTTAAGTTTTTTGACCTGTGATTCATACGCTACGTGATAGGTATCATAGCATAGGTCATGTCTGTGTGCTCTGTTGATGACAACATATGTAATTGCAACTCGCACTTACGTTATGCCCTTTTACGTTTCTAGACATTTAGTGGTTAGGTTTAGATATACACCTGCTTAAATTCAACTAAAGGTAATGCTACAACACAAAGCCGTAAGTAGTTAACTTTGGTTTCTAAAATCTAAGGTAAATGTGTAAATATGGTAAGTGTTTGTAAAATTGTTTATATTATTTTTAGTTTATGTGTCAATGCAATAAGCAACTTGTGTCTTAATGAACAATAATGAGAACGACTTTTTCTCTTCTCTGCGGCCTCTCGCTGTTGCAAAGCACAGGTTCAGCAGCTAGTCGTTTATAAAATGTTTAACAAGTCACACATTAGTGAGTAAGGCGAGTGAAGTTACACAAAATTTATTACAAAGACTTTATTATGATCAACAATTACAACACAATGTTTGAGTTGGAGCTGTGTTAGATTTTATTTTCCACTCAAGTAGGCAACAATTTTATCCTCTATAACATCTGAACATTCTTCTCTGCCTATACTGTCAAATTCATTGAAGGTGCCATCATTGATATACTCCTGCTTGTCGAACAAGTACGGCGATTGTTCCTTTCCGAAAGTAATGAAGGAAACATATTTCCTAAAAAAAATATTTAAAAAATTAATATAAAAAAATTAGAACACTTTACCGTTAGTATTGAAATTCCTTAATGTACAGCGGCTTGTGTGACAGTTGAATAGTCTTCAGTTCAATCTTTGACATTCCATCGCCATGTTAGTTGTAGCCAGGTTTTTAATAAAATTTGTCTTAGTTGATGTGAGCCCCCTACAGATTGCGCTGATCTAAATTACTGATTTCTGCCAATTACACGATGGTTTTTACCAAGTCAAACTGATGGAATGACTTATTATGTGCTATAGCAACTGTTGGGACCCAGCAACTATGTCAGTACTAAAGAATAAGATACAAAATAGAGTTTTAGACACTAGCGCAATCTGTGTCTGGCTCACACAACTACATTCTTTTTTAGTAAAAAAATGGCGACAGCTGATCCATATATATGGGATGTCTTGGTTCAATCTTCTAATGTTTGTAACTTTTCAATGCTTGAAAACTGGGCTTGCTGTCGTTGGTGATGATTGCAATTTAAATAAATTACCCTAGTTCGTATTTTCGTATAGAGTCAGATGATGGTAGTATCTTAATCAAATATTGAATCTTGCAACTATCTTTAGGGTATATGTTTCATGTGTGTATCTAACAGTAAATGTAAAACTCACTCGTTTTGGTCCACCTTGTCACCCAGAAGTCTCAGGTCTTGTTCTGCATGTTTGTCACATTTGCCGTCTATCAGTTTACTCCAGGCACTACAGTAGATCCCCCACATTTCAGAGTTGATACTCTCCGCGAAGTACAACACACTCTTCATATGAGAACACGCCAGATCTATCCGTAACAAGTGGAAATGGATTATGACAAACTTAAATGGTTTAAATAATTCAACCGGCAGTTTTGAAAATGAGATTAGAGGATAACAGATGATAATTTTAATAACTATGCGTCATCTTAAAAAAAAACCTTTCTCATGGTAGTTTTTGTACTAACCGCCTCTTTTGGAGATTGTCGCTATATTTTAGTTATGTCTTAAGAATTTCACAAATTACCATATTGTAGCTAGAAATGTATTCTCAGATTTAATAGATTTTTAAACTTTGAGTCATGTGTTAGAAACTCCTAATTCCCGCATGCACTTTAAGTGATGGTGGCAAAAATTGCTTTTTTGATTTAGCAAAGGCATTAGTATTAGAATTTTTCAAGATAGTAATTAGTTTAAACGCTCTTTGTAATAATGTATCCACCCAAATACATACACGTGGCTTTAAAGAAGACTTCGTTTGACAGAATATAGAATCGATAAACTTAGAGTAAGGAATTTGCTAATTACTTAGTACAATAAATAAACTTGTTAGTAAACACAGAACTTACCACACCCACAGCCTGGCTGGAACTGGCCGTTGTTGAGATATACATCAACATCCGCCTCAGCCGCGCTCTGACCAAGTATACCAATGTTGCTGTGGTATGTATCCCTGAAGTCAGCTACTCCTTTATTTTCATCACCGGAGAAGAAGAGTGGCAGAGCAGGATCAAATCCTAAGCACATTTTCCAAACTTGATGAAGAAAGTTATCTTTATCATTTTTTATCGATTGAATAACTAAAATGCACTATTTTAGTATTGGCTATGGTATCACTAGCTGGATTCAATCTTATCTCATTGACCGACTCTGAGTCATTAAACTGGGAAATGAAACATCGGAACCCCTCATAAAACACAAACATGGAGGAGGAGGGGGGGGGGGGTCCTCAAGGTTTCCGATATTTTTTTAACTTTTGCTTGGGCTGACTGCTTCTGTTATTTGGGCTGACTTTCCTAGCTGCGTACAAAACTGTATGACACACAAGTAAACCAATAAATATACACAGAATAACAAAAAAAAACAAAAAAAACATAGAATAGGGGAATAAAAAAAAAAATATTGCAATGCTAGCTGAGCCAACAATGAAAATTATTCTATGAATGCATGTAACAAAAATACAAATGGCAAAATTTAAATCTGAAATCAGAAGTTTTCGAAGTAAGCCTACCTAATCACAAAATAAGAACGACTTTTGAAAATATGTGTTTATTTTGGGAATTGTCCCTTTTGGTGAATCTATTTACTTAAAAATAACAGTTATTCATTATAGACATTGGCGTTGATTTCTATTTAATATGGATTTCCTTAGTAGCTTTGTTGTAAGGGTGAGGTGCTGGCATATCTTTTCACTATTTAAGTAGCTTATGTGGACTTAACTTTTTCTAGAAAATAAGACAATCCACTGATAAAATAACATATCCATAAATGATCCTGAAGGGCGAAGGCAGAAAACCGTCTGCAAGGCCCAAAGCAAGATGTTCCGGAGGATAATGAGAAAGTAGGAGCCGAATGAGGAGGTGGATGTGGACTGGAGGGGCTTGATGACCAAGCCAACTACCGACCGAATACTAATATTTACTTTAGTATGTAAGTTTGGGGTCTTTATAACAAAATAAGTTTTAATACATACTTGTAAGTCTGGCAAACTGGACGCCATGTTTTCTTTGCATCTGGGAGGACGTTCTTCCAGCGACATGTCCTCCCAGGCTGTGTCCTAGTATGTGAACTATGTTTTCAAAGTTCTCCAATCCATGGCAATCTATAACCTTCTTAAGGAAGCCTGAAAGACAAGCGGCTACAGGGTTGATGCTGTAGACACCCTGTAGGTAACATCCATCCTTTACAAAATATCCCCAGTCGATGCCGATGATGTTGTACTCTCCGTAGTCCAAGTAGGCTGAAATATCATGTATATTTGTAAGTTACATCATTATTTTATTATTGAAGAGAAAATTAAATCATTGCCACGTGAGGCACTAATGGCATCATATGCGGACTAAAATGGAATAGCAAAGGGACAAAAAGGAGAATCACTCGAACTGGTTTTTTTAATAGGGTCTCAACTGATTAAATGTGGAATTACAAGTAGGATTACCTAGGACCACAAGCAGCTTCAGGTAGGATTATAAGTAAGTATAATAGGTAGCTTTAAATAGAATCATGAGTAAATTTAAGTGGGATCACAAGTTGGTAATTAAGATTTTAAATTCTGCAACAATATTAAAAGCTACATTGTGGCTCTGTAAATTTGTACACAATCTAAAAATAGTTTTTCATTTATCACCGACCCAACCTATAATGGGTAAAAAAAATTGTAATAACATTAAAAAAATAATGTTTTAAGGTATGCAATGAACTAGTGAATCTTTTTAATTTTACTTCTATTGTATTAAGCTTGTTTTTCGTAAACTGTTGATTTACACCATTCATACCGTTTATCAAGGACGTCATCATTAGGCTATTTCTGTCATTTGTGTATCCATGTACAATGATCTTCAGTTGTTTTTTTATGAACCCTGCACCTCCCAAGTCATTTTCGTCTATCTGTCTTCCATCTCTATTATCTCTGAAATTTAAATTATCATGTTGATGAATTTCCTTTTGAGACTTCGAAACTTAGCCTTAAGATCCTTGATTGTTAGTCAGCGTAAATAGTTAGTTACCTTACGGATTAATATTAGATAAAAGACAAAGCTACCACAAGCGATTTGACACACCTTCGATATTCTGAACTTTTGCTATTCGCCAAAAAACAGAAAAAGGTTTTTGTAAAATAGAATATTTTAGTGTTTTGTGATTTGTTATTATTTGCTTGTTGTATCATGACTTGACTGCTATACAGTGCATATTTTTTGACTACTACTCTCTGCAGTGCATTCTAACTTACATTCCAACGGTTGGGCGTTTGTGTATTGTTAGTTGTAATGTGTTAGTTTAGTTTTTTTCACCTGAGGACGGGATCAGATTCCAGATCCCAAAACGTTGTGTATTGTTTTTTACATTCGTGATGAAAAATGTCCGCAATAAACCTTTGAACAACATTAACTCGCCATCACCAACAATGAACTTCAAACAAAGAAGAATATTTTCAGTTTTTAATGCCGTCATAAATGTCAATCAAACTGATTTCAGAGCAGGGAACACATTTTGCATACCTGCACTTCAATTGAAAATGGGATTAAGAAACAGTAAAAAAACCACAAGTGATTTCATTGACCTGAAGCTTACGTTACAATACTAAATCTAGAGAAAATGCTTCTTGCCCTGTTACTATATCTAGATTTTATATTTCAACGCTATTCTATTAATCTATCATATCTACCCTAATCCTTACTTTATAGAAATCTAAGAAGTTATATCGTAGGTGGTGAAAAAAGACCGAGAGGAACTTTTATGCGGAGGATGGAGTTAGTAGGTGGCAGATGGTGAGGAGCGACGAATTGTGGATTTGTTAGGAGGACATCATGACACACTGACTTGGCAAAAGCCACAACGGCAGGGAAGTTGTAGTTCCTTACCTTGTGTAAAGCCAGTATGTGACCTGAGAAGGACAAACCTGATCTTGAGCTACTGGGCAGTCGTTGGTGAGTTTATTCAAAGCCTCTCTTATGTTAGCATCAATTGTTAAATCAATTTTGAACAAACCACCAAAATTTAGATTAACAGCTGTAAAAAGAGTTTTAATTGAGTACTAATGGCAACATTAATACTTATAAAACTATAGTTCGGCCGCTTAGAAAACGACCTGCGCGCTAATGCTAAACCAATGCTGGAGGAGGTCGCTTTCTAAGCGGCCGAACTATAGTAATATAACCTTAAAGCAGAAAAAAGTATATGCATCTATAACCGATGATTAATATTAAGGTAATGCATCTAAATTCTATTAAATTTTATTGGTTCTTTCTTTGTTATTGAGTTAGTATGGAGTATTTTATTTTGGTGTAACTATATAAACAACTGTGATACTAAAGGAGGAAGGTTTTCTCTTCTAGTTCTAGTTTAAGAACTTATAATTGTAGAAGGACAATTTTATTGAGTATTAAAAGTTCAACCATACAGTTAGTGGTAGTAGGTAAATTTAATTTGGAACTTTCTTCATGGAATATATTGGAAGACTTTGATAGCCACGAAATCTAGAAAATCTGAAGCCCGGTTTAAAAATTCCTATTACCAAGTGCAATGTTTCTGTACGAGAATAAATTTAAATTACAAACCAGGTATGCCCACAAATTAGAAAACATCATAAATCTAAAATACTATAACATCACGTATAGATTGTTGGTATGAAAACAAAATACTTAAACCTGCTGAATACAATATGTTGTCCCAAGAAAATTTACATGGAAACATGTTTTATGCTTTGGAAAAATAAACATACTTGCATTACATTTGGTAACAGTCTCGTAACCAAATGCTAATAGTTTCGTAGTGACAGTGAGTGTCCCACCTTTTCAATCACTCAAATAAGGCCTTACAAAAAGATTAGATCAGCATACTTGGCAAGAACTCGTTTCTTTTATAATATAATGACAACCTCATCGCTTGAAAACATCCTCTAAATTTTTATGTATAAGTTTATTCCTAAGTAAGGTATTAACTGTTATGTTAGCTTACAAAATACCAGCTAATAAATAAAAATAAAAAGATTATATCCTTAAAAGTCATAAGTAAGAATACAGCCAAGAATATTAATAGTTGGTGTCAATTTTACCTGATGAGCACCCTAATATGGCCAGTAACGCGTAAACTGTTCTCATGGTTTGGTAGTTAAGGTTTAGTAGGAAGATTCAACATTTTATACTATCTATAATAGATTATGAAACACATGCTTGTTTATACATGTGTCTACTTGTCAACAGTTACTATGCATGACATTAAACAGAGTAAACTGCTGAAAATTGTTTACTTTTCACTTATTATGAACAGTTTGGCAGCTTATTGTATTTAAATAGCACACTGTTATTGGAAGGTAACTTTAATCTGATATAATTCATCCTTTTATTTCCTTACTCATAATACAGCATAGCTGAAAGCAATTGAATGAAACTGAAAAGTTAAATAATGCACAACCTTGAGGCAGCCAATTATATAATCTATAGGCTTCGTTAGAACTGAATAAAAGAAACTTAAACATTGTGCAAATGTTTAAATGGTCATATTGTTTGTTGCAATATGTTATGAAATAGTTAGTGTGTCATTATTTGTTCAGAATATAAAAAACAAACCTATTATAGATGATTTTACTATCATTAATTCAGTTAATTGAATCAGAATTTATAGTTTTAAAATGCCATAAGAGGTATAAACACGCTATACGGCATAATTATGAGCAAGCATTATTACAATATCACATATACTTTGTACAAATATACAACTCTATACGTACCAACAAATGTAACTGAGCCTAGATGTAATAATTTTATGTTGGTAAGTACGGTAAAGTAAAAGTTAATTTTTTTCAATTTATTAGCAACTATTTTATGATCTTTAACTAATTTCAATGTCTTTTGAACTCCAATATGGAAATTAGATTTTTAGAAGTTCATATCCAACTAATAAACAATGTCAATATCATATTTGTAACTGAATAAATTTCATATTATTACTAAAAAGAATGGTATGAAAATGAAAGGAGATATAGCAGGAAAAGTATTTTGGTCCTACACATTATGTAGGTCTTACCAGTGAGAAGTCCGAAGCTCCTGGAGGAAGAAATGTTAAAATGTTACAAATGAAGGAGTTTTACCTTATTTTAACTACAGTATTCACAATGTGTTCAACTAAGGTAATTAATACTTATAGTACAACAATAAGTATGAATAGGTTTATTAAATAAGCATTTTATTTTTAGATATTATTAATAATTGGTTTTTATTATTTTCTATCAGATAAAACATTTAGCTTTATAAATTTAATCGTCAAGAGCAAAGCCGCAACTGGGTGTGTTACTCAATTATATACTTTTCATTTTCCATCCATTAATAATTATGTAAAGTTTTTAAGATACACATTATCGTATCGTTTACCGTAATTATTAAGATAATATATAATATTCAATATTATCACTTACGTTGAATACATTTCCATAAAAAGGTGGTTTTGACCAAAATATTTATTGCCAGAATAATATATAAATAAGGTACATAAAGACAAAGTTATCATGCAGGTACGGAATAACAGCTATTTAAACGTCGATTTCATTGTTACTTTCTTGTAAGGAAACGTGTTCTTTTAAGTTAGAATAAAAAAATATATTTTAGTATTCTTTATTTGTCAGGTACTATAAATAAATAATAAAATAACCACAAATAAGAAACACCAAACATAAATATTTTAAGGCAAACAGTTCAAACTTATACACAGCTTTAGTTTCCTTAGTGTATTTATTGTATGTACGATAAGAAGTAGTAAACCGTGTTTTCGACACAGCTAGTTTAAGAATGTGTAACTGTTAGTTGGAGGTTTTGGGTAGCGGTTGCTCCATTTGCCGCAATCACAGCGTCTAACGAAGGAAGGCGGAACAAACGAACAACGTGACTTAAGTTATAAGTGTAGTTGCGTGCTGCAGTAACTCCACAAGGACTGAAGTAAGGAACATGACGATGACTGTAGCTCTACAGCTGCTACTGGTGCATGGAGAAAAGTCACTTCATAGGCTCCACCCTAAAACCGCAGGCACATGAACTCGCACGACGTTCACAATCCCATAGCCTTATTCGGCAGCCAAATTTGACAGCTAGGAAAACCCAGTATGCCCAGAAATGCCAGTATCATATTTTTAGATAGTTGTAGTTACGGGTTGAGGTAGGTTTTAAAGCTACTAATGTAGGATTCAAAGCTAAATTCTGTAACTCTTATAAATTCTAAAATATTCCAACTAGGAGGTTGGCAAAAGATGGGCCCGAATTTTTAGGAACGTTGTCGAGCACTCAAATTGTTAAATTTCGGCAACACTTTAGATGTAATTGAATAACGCAGATTTTCCACTCTTAGGAAAAGATTGATTGATTAAAGACATCAAAAGTGTGAATAAAAACTGAAGCTGAAGACAAAAAACTATTATCTTTTTGGTCTGTAAAAAAGATGCCAAAAATAGAAAATTCGTTCTGCAGTTAATTAACTTTGATGACATTGTACCTCATAAAGTAATGCCTTATCACTGACAATATAATACTCTAATATTTAAGTTGGCTATTGGAAACGAAATTTCACCAAAATCGGACAAAAACTACTCATGTTATCGCGTTCACGGGCTTATACATGTATATATATATGTATATAAATCTATAGATAAGTCAGATAGATTTTATAGATAGTCTGATAGATAAATCTTATATATATATTACATATAAGAATAGTATCTTATACATATATAAACATTTGAACAAAAGGTGTTTTTGGCCTCTGGGCACTTCTAAATAAAAAAGTAAATCGGGCCCAGGCCTAGGTGTTACCGTGCCACCTACGGTAATAGCTATTTCGTTATAGGGAAATTCGCTAAAACAGTAAATTCTACGGCGACAGTTGATTCGGAAAACGATAATGGTTTGCATTTTTCTGTAAGTCAAGCAAAATATTAATTCTGTAAATCCCGGTTATTTCTAGTGTTTTATTAGCCATAAGTAAAAGAGTCCACAAACCAACACCAACCATCAACTCAACATCCACACAGGTAAGGCGAATCCAACTTTCGCACGTACCTTACATAATGCTCTTTACAAAACCATTGCCGCTCTCATGTAATAATTGGCATTTCCTCTTTAAGTTATTAGTTGACAAAAATATCAAAATATTGTAGAGAACTTGTTAAACACGTACCGGTAAATGGTGTATTTTTAGTGTTCCTGTAGACTGAATACGGCAATCGAATAGTCACGCCATTGGCACAGTTAGTATCATAATTATTGCAGGTGTTCCAGTACAAGCATATTGACTACAAAAACATGTCGTAGTGATCATGTGTAACATGATATACCTATTGAACAAAAAACGTATTCGTAAATAATACGCTTATAATTAGCTAAACGAAAATTAACATTAGTTTTTAGTACAATCATTGACTATATCATAGTCAATTGTACAATGTTTAAAAAGGGATGCTAATAATCGTGACAACTATAACATGAAAAACACAAGCCCTCGAATTGAGAGTGGGAGTGTATCGTAAACATACAAAATTATTTATGTTTGTATTATCTTCAGAAAACTCTTTCAAAATTTTGGTTATCTGAATTAAAATTGTTAAGATGAAATGTAGTTTATCAACACAGTGAAATGAGCAACCAATGCAAGTTTTCTTTGCATCATAATAAAACATTTCATATAATATAGCACTAAAAACATGATACTCAATTTAATCCTAAATAAAGTAAACATATTGAAGAATAGTAAACATAAAATGTATCCCTGAGACACTCCCTGTGCATTTACCTAAAATATAACTCTTTATTATTATCCTGTAGTGATAGAAGAACTTCTACTTCATGTGGATAAGTATATTCAATAACAATCGCAAATAAAATCGGAGTTAACTCTGTAACATAACATTAAAACAAAATTCATAACAGTTTTCCAGCCAAGCTTATCATCCTTATTAAAGCTGATCCTGTTTTTTAATGATTTCTACCAAATGTTTTCCCCTCATAGCCGCATTAGGTTGTCCATGTTTAACTTTGTCATTGATAATGTACCCTTCATGTTACTACCATAGATTATTAAAACCTTACTTTTATGTATGATGGTCTACGGTCTATATAATCATAGTTTTCTTAATATTCTTTTCACTAAAACCATTAATAACGTCTGAAAAGTCAAGTGACTTTCGCCAATTCTTAACTAAACCTAAAAAATCTAGAAATAATATTATTTTTTACTTTGATTTTGTAATAACTATATGTAGGCTATTTGAATTTTAAATCTATGATCCGCTGGAAAATACTCTTCAATAACAAAAATTAAACATAAATAGGGGGCCCGGGCCTTTTGACCAGAGTTGCACCAGCCCTTGTGGGGGTCATGCCTCAAGGGCATATAAGTCGTAAGTCCTGGCTCTAATCAGTAGACCGATCGCACCCCCACAAATAAAGGGAATGTCATATATATATATATATATATATAATTAGTTTGAATACTTAGTGTAAACATTGTATACTTTATTTAACCTAAACACGCCAATAAAATATATTACTGGATTAATATTATTGAGACAACATATTTGCCTTGCCAACCGGAGGTGACACTTAAATTTTAAATGATAGCAAATATTGGGATGATTCGCATGTTTTCGACGGCGGTATAATCCAAAGCATGATTTATAGCTCTGGTGATGATTGGTAATTAAATGCGATTAGATTCTGTGTTATCGAGTTCAAAATGTTAATAGAATTGTTGCACAAGAGCCCGATAGGAGCTGTTAAACCTTGGAACAAATGGTTAAAGTTCTTGACATTGTTTTATAGCTTGGAAACAAAGTCGACATCTTTTAAACTTTAAACTGTTTACTTAAATTCAACAACTATACAAGTTCATGGTAATGTGGACACAATCCGATTACATTGTTTACATTTTTCTTTAGCCTATTTTAATTTTAAGAATTTCTGTCAAAGTATTTAATCAGTTTTCCTAAACGAATATTAATACAAAATGTGGACGTTAACAAAAGTATTACAATGACAAGTAACAAGATGTATCCATGTAATGAAAATTAAATGATTCTATCTATAAAACTAAATTTATAGATAAAAAAATGCTTTATAACAAATATGACATTAACGTTAATTTATTCAAATTGGTTTTAAAAGCACTGACTGATATAAATAATATGGAAATGATTGTAGTTTTTGTCAAATAAAATGTATATACAAAAAAATATTTTTTTTATAGGATTAAAATATTTTAAATTTCTCTTTAAATCTCTTAATAAATGGTAGGCCTAA